CATGGATTCTGAGTTGTTTTTCCCTGGCCACCTCTTTTCCCTTTTTATCTATTAAATTGTCTTTCAGGTCACTAATTTGTTCTTCTGCCTCACTTACCCTAGCTGTGAGATTATCTAGATTAGATTGGATCTCACTGATAGCATTTTTAAATTCTGCCAATTCAGCTTTCATTTCTGCCCTTAGAGACTCTATGTTGCCATTAATCGATTTCTCCATTCTAGCTATTGTCTTCACAATTGCTACCCTGAATTCCATCTCAGACATCTTGGTTATATCTGTATCCATTTGTAAATCTCCCGCATAAGTCATAATCTCTGAGTCTTTTCTATTTTGGGTGTTCCTCCTCCTAGTCATTCTGTTGAAGGGTGGTTGAGGGAATGTATAGAGTCCAAATTATTGACCACAACCCAAGCAAGATGCACCTGTTTTATAGGGACCTTAGGGTTGCCGGCCTCTTGTTCTCCCAGCCTGTCTTCTGGGGGAGGGGTCGGCCGTGCTATGTCAGGCAACCCTGTTTGGGCAGCGTTTCCTTGCCCCCCTGTGGTGGCGGATCGGCTCAGTGGGAACCATTTTTTTGGGCTTTTGTTCTCTGGTGGCTTTCCCTGGTGGCTTTCAGCATCTCTTCTGAGAGTCAGAGCAGAAGAGACTGTTTCCAACCCTCTGCCCCAGGGCAGAGAGACCACAGTCTGTTCTTCAGTGAGCTCTCCAGGCCACACTATTTCTGTTTCTGTCCATGCTGCTATAAACTTCAGCGTCCTCGATTGTGCACCCCTCAGCAGTGCTCCCAGTCCTGCCTCCAGGTCAGGCACGTCTCTGCCCTTTGTGCTTCTATAACCACCAGCCACTTCCAGTTCACACGTGTGACCCCTCTGCTCTGGGTTTCCACCCTGGGGGCTGTCCTAAAGTCCTTTCCCCGCCGCTACCGGTCTGCAAGTCTGTGCCCATCCCCAGAGCGCCAGGCTGTCACTCACCAGCGGTGTAGGATCCCCACGGCCAGGCTCCCTCCCACTGCCGTTTCTCCTCCGATATCTGCCTATGGAATCATGCCTCCCCACTTCGTATCTGGAATCCAACCACCTGCAATATTCTGTTTGTAGAGATCCAGATCTTCTCATATCTCAGGCTGATTTCGTGGATCCTCAGAGTGTCTGGTAGATATCTCGCTCAATTCCGGGGATCAGTTGGAATAGGGTCCCCTACTCCTCCGCCATCTTTTCCTCTTCCTACTTTGTTGACTCCATAATAGTGACTTTGTTTTGACACAGCAACAGTAAATTGAAATTTGAAAGAATGTTGCCTGGGGAATACAGGAGGTCACCTAGGGAGCTATCAGGAGGGGTTGGGCATCCATTGAACTTCTCATCATGCACTCTTTCTTTAGCTACAGCAGCATTATCACTGATTAAACTACAAGAAAGTCCATGGTCCGTGGTCATGGGATGTATGATTTCTTCCATTTGTGCATTGATTTAATAAAACCACTCTCTAAGGATAGCCCTATTCTTCCAGATTTTGGTGCATATGTGGGGGGGCATCAAACTGTACCCCCACCCTCCATAGATTACTTAAACTTTATAAAGTTTAAAAAAGTAATATCACATAGTAATGGTTTACTATTCCTTATTCAAGTGTATTTTAATTAGCTAGGACAATAAAGCTTTTCAAAGTTATCTAGTTCTTTTGGTTGGGGCATTTCTATTAATCATAAGTTCATCTTAATCGTTTTTGTTTTAATATAGAAAATAACATTTCAGAAATGTAAATTATGAATATCTCCTAAATACCTCACCTCTCTGGAATATGGTAAAGGGCTAATAGCAAACAGGACAAAAAATGAAAGAATGTTTTGAATAGAAAAAAATGAACACACTACATTTTTCAATTACAGTAAAGGAAAACTTAGCAAGTTTAAATATTGATTGTTGGATTTTACTTTCTGTTGTCAGACGCTAAGTAATGTAACAAAGACATGATTTGAGTATTCAGAAATTATTCAAATTGGACTGTCAGGAGAGGGTTCAGAAGGATGTAAGTAGTGCTCTACCATATCAAAAGACCAATGGAACCAGTACAGTGTTTACTTTCATAATAGAAGCAGAAGATACCTGGTGCTGGATACTCCCATCAAACTGTAATTACTGAGTTGCTTGGAACCCAGATTATACTTATATTACATTGTTTAGTACCTCATTAGACTTGGCATATTTGCTTCAAACTTCTCTTTGTTATATTTTACTATAGTTGAGTGACATGCAAACTGGATTTATCATTAAAGTAAGTTTTTTTTTTTTTTTAAGACAAAGCATGGCTAAATCTTAAGTTCTAACCTTCCCCATAGCTTGGATAGTTTTGTTTTGTTTTGTTTTGTTTTGTTTTGTTTTTCTATAAAGTATAAAATATACTAGTGAGGGCACAGTCTGCGTGGAGCACTGGGTGTTATGCACAAACAATGAATCATGGAACACTGCATCAAAAACTAATGATGTAATGTATGGTGGTTAACATAACAATAAAAAAATTATTAAAAAAAACCAAAAAACCAAGGGTCAGAAAAAAAAATAAAAAAAAATAAAATATACTAGATTATGAGTTACAGCCTTAACAAAGGAAAACCTTTTAAGAAATAATGTTAAACCAATTTTGAAGATAGGTGGTTAAAAGTGCTTATAAATCTATGTCTTTGTGAATGATTCAGAAAGCATGATATCTTCCCTTGGAATTTAGTTAGTTCTTTCATATGTTGGGACAAGTCAAATAATAGAAATACTGCAGAGTCTGTGGTTCGAGCCTTGAAAACTTACAGACCAGAAGGCATTACAGGGTCCATCTTTATGTAGTTTTGAGCCTCTTCAGACCTAGTGCCCTATGGGTCGTGCTGAGGTCTTTACCTGAAATGCGTTCAAATCTGGGTGGTTTGTTAAACACGGGAAATAAATGTCCTTGACTTGTCTTACATGTGCTCCCCGGCACATCTGAATCTGACTCACTCTCCCTGTGAAGATCATCAAGGCAGGCTTTGTGATAGAAATCGAAGATAAGAGAGTGTTCACTGAGCAACAAGTAAGGGACTTCTATCGTCGGATAGCACACCAGGTAAGGAAGTTAGACACAAACCAAAAAAAAGCTGCTGTGTTTTCAAATGCAGTAGATTCCTGTAAGTTTGGAACCCTCCTCTTAGAAAAGCAAATGAATAAGTCTGACCAGCCAGATAAGCTCCATTGTCCCTCTTGGTGTCCAGATGATGGTAAAGCCAAAGAAGGTGATGACGGGGAAGTCTCCAGTAGAAACAGTAGCAGCTGAGCAAGAGTGGATGGTCCGATTGCACTTTGTCGAAGTGAAGCCCTGTTCAACTTATGTGCTCTCAGACTCCCTGTATCAACCTCTGGAAGTGAATACCCAGGCCTTTCCTATAGATTTTTATTCCAGGCTGAAGGCTCCTTGTCATAAACCTCACAGGGAAGCTTTAATCCTTTCATTACCTAAAGGCCCATGTCCCAAGCTATTTTCTCTTCTGCATGGGAGAGTATAAGAAAGGCAGTGCTGTGTATTGGAAAGGGCAGTAGCTTGGGGGTTTGAAGACATAGCTTCTGGAACTCTCCTGTCCAGTCTGGTAGCCATCAGCTACATGTGGCCATTTGCATTTAAATCCATTAAAATTAAATCAAGTAAAAAAAAATTCAGAGTTTCAGGTTGCACTGACCACATTTCAAGGGCTCAGTAGCTGCACGTGGCTACTCGTGTTGGAGAGCCTAGAAGAACATGTTTGTCATCAAAGAAAGTTCTAGTGAACGGCACTATGTCAGCTGGCTACAACACTCAAACCGCCTCTCTTGGCCCTAGGAAAAGGTTGGGCCCACTGCCTCAGCATCACGTGGGAACTTTTGAGATAGTCCACTTCCAAAGCCCCCCCCTCAACCTCCTGAGTCATGAACTCTGGGATTGGGCTTTCCAAATCAGTGTTTTTAACAAGCCCAGCAGATGATTTGGAAGCATCCTGAAGTTTGAGAATGGTTATTAGACCACCTTATGATCAATCCCTGTGAGCTGTGAACTTTCATCCTTCAAAGGTGTGATTGTTCACAGGGCCAACAAGCGAGCTAACACTCGCTTGCCTGGTGGTCAGGAAGGGGATGATGTCGCTTGGGTTGGGGAGTGGCTGTCGTTTTAGTCTATCTATTTCAGAAGCCTGGAGTAAGCAGTTTATCATCTTATTTATAGCCTGACTTTGAAGATTTTGTCCTTTTTATGACCAGTGGCCTAAGCCATATTCTAGTTATATCTCAAGGAAATGAAGAGCAGCCTGCCCTGGGAGAAACTGAATCTGATCCTGAGACAGAAGCTAAAGAAATATATGAGGATCACCTTGCTATGGTCACAACTCCAATGATAAGGAAGAAGCGGGACAGGTAGCTTGAGACCAGGAAACTTACCATTATGTGTTGTGTTAGTAGGTAATGAAGTGTAATAGCCAAATACCTCAAGATCTAAGAATGTACATTTTATTTTTATTTTTTTTAAAGATTTTATTTATTCATTTGAGACACAGAGATACAGAGAGAGAGAGCATGAGCAGGAGGAGAGGCAGAGGGAGAGGGAGAAGCAGGCTCTCTGCTGAGCCAGAAGCCCAATGCGGGGCTTGATCCCAGGACCCTGGATCATGACCTGAGCAGAAGGCAGATGCCTAACCATCTGAGCCACCCAGGCACCCCATCTAAGAATGTACATTTTTTAAAGATTTTATTTATTTATGTAAGAGAGAGAGAGAGATCACAGAGGGAGAAGCAGCCTCCCACTGACAGGGAGCCCGATGCGGAACTCGATCCCAGGGCCCCAGTATCATAACCTGAGCTGAAGGCAGATGCTTAACTGACTGAGCCCCCAGGTGCTCCCAAGAACACACATTTTTATGTTGGAGCCACAAGTATTTCTTCCAGTCAATCTAAAAAACCATATATACAGTAAAGCTGGGATTTCCCTGAAAGTTTATGTCAAGAGGATTAGAAAGGGAAAAATGTGCCCTGTTTATCTTTCTAAAGCTGGGCCCACCAGTCTGGCCTCTCAGCCTGGGGCCCCAGGGGCAGATTGGGACCATGTGTAATTCCTGCCAGGTCTCTCCCCTCTCCTGTCTCCCCACATTCACTCCCACCTGCCCTGCATCCTAAAGACATCAGATGTACTCTTTCCCCTTTTTTACTTAAGGCAGTTACTGGTTATAAATTGCTAAGAACTAAATGGTTGTATATTTTCACTAATGGGTTTTTAAATATTTGAAAATGAATATAAGTACCAGACAGAGTGTTGGTTTTATGCACTGCTATTTGTGCCTTTTATTCCTTGGAAGACTCAGAAAGTTCAGTTTACCACAAGAGTCATCAGAGCAATGCCTGGAACAAAGGTGGGTAAGCAGGAACCTGCTGAGAGGAGCTGAGTCTCGAGATTCCATGATGTGTCTCTTCCCGATGGACAGCACATCTTCATTGCATTTTCTGGCAGGGCATCTCCAGAACTCCTTGTTGTCTTATTAATGTGTGTAGTGGCTTTTCTTGAGTAGCTATATCTGCTGGTTCCTACAGTGTGATACGTTTTAGGTAGCAGGGTGACCCTATGGTCATTAGTTCCAAGTTTTAAATGGGATTGAGGGGCTTAAAGTTAAGCCAGCTGCTGACAAAGGGCTTTGTGAACAGTAGTACTTATTTTTACAGTTTTAAGGGGGAATGATAGTCAGTGATCAGAGGGAAGCTTTGGGTGGGGAGCGTTCCACTTAAAAAGATACCAGACTTCATACCAGAACTTTTGAACCATTAAAAAAATGTTCTGTGAAGCACTCATTGATGCAGCTTGCATAACAGAAGTCAGCATTCTGCTTGTGCCATCATTCTGGTGAGTCTGTGTCACATCCAACTTTGAAAAGCAGTTGTCTCTGGTTGTTGAATACTGACGTAATAAGATGAACAGTTTAGGCCATTGGCGGGGTGGGTGTGGAGTGAGATGTGTTAATCTTGCTTTGGAAAAGTCTGCAGTATTTTCTTTCTGAACTTAGAGACTCCATTTGCCTTTGGCCCATGTTTATCCTGAGTAGTGGCCATAGGCAGGCAGCATGGAGTGGTGGGGAGCATGTTTGTCTGGGAATCTGTTTTCACAGCTCGTGTTCTGGAAGCAAAGCATAACAGGTGCCAAGCACTTCTACTGTTATCTTTTAAGTGAACCCAGAACCCAAAGGACCAAGGACATAAACTCTCATGAGTGATTTACATGTCTGTTCACTTTCTTTCTTTATGGCTACCTCTCCCCTACCTCAAAGCCTGCTCAACTTCCTCTCTGGGTGGTGGTGGGGCTGGTGGGTGAGGAAGAAAGGAAATTAAAAGCAGAGCAATTAGACTGGGAGTGGTAGGTGGCTCCTTCTGCGAACATGAGCAGAGCTCCCCTTCTTGGTCAGGGTGGTTGTCCCCACAGAGAAAAACTCACTGTGAACCCACATGGTCTGGGAAGACTTTCTGCATGTCAGCAGTAACCCACTGGACCCAGTGGCTGGCCAGGAGGAGGACCCAGGAAAACAGGACGCAGGCAGCCACAGTTTTCATCCAGATCCCAGAGTTGTTTATGATGACTTTTGATCACAGTCTGTTATCCATTTGCATGTCTGTCTCCTTAATCCACCTGTGTATTAACTCAAAGGTCAGAGTCATTTATCTTTGCTTTCCAGTCATTCTACTGGAAGAGGAAGGTGTGGTTCTATTAGCTACATTGTCCAGAGTCAGATAAGTAGTTACTGGCAGTCTTCACTCACTCACCCATTCATTCTATTATGCATCCTTCCATTTATCTAGTATTTATTAAAGTCCTACTATGTGCCAAGCCCTGGGGATACAAAGATGGGAGGAAATGAAATGATCTCTAAAGTCCCTTTCAGCTCCAAATCTTTAAGACTGAGTGAAGATGTTAGTTCCTACCTCCTATAATATATTTCTCTCTCCATACAAAGTGTCTAATAACCCATTTATTTCTATACATGTCATAGCTATAGAGAGCAAGTTTTTCTTTTATAAAACTCTCATTTAAATTGAAGATAATAGATACAATTCCTAAAATAATCTTTAAAAGTATTTCTGGGATCAGAGCAGTCTGAATTCTATACCTTTACTCTCTACTCCCATCTCCAGACCTTTCTTGCCTCTCTAGCATCAAAGGGAACCTGTGTTCATAAGCATCTGGCCATAGGTGTGACCTGGAGTTCTGTTGGTCCAGAACTAAAGAGAAGGGGAGGGCGGTGGTATGGTGCTTTCTCCACTGATAGCTTGGGGGAGTGCCTGAGTTCAATCACAGGGGACCAGAACCCCAGACAAACACCAGTCTTGGAAAGAACAAACAGACTTGTGACTCACCAGGGCCAGATTGATACTGGACTTCACTGGGCCTTCCTGACCTCCCTCTCCCCGAAAGCCCAAGATGGAGCTGAGCAGAATTACCAAAATTGCCTGCCTTTGAGGACCAGTTCTATAAGGGCTCTTAACCATTTGTTCCCACAGGGGAATGACAGCTTGCTTGCTTGTAGCCTAGAGGCCATTTTTGTCTTTCAGCTGTAGGGTTTCCAACACCTAGCATACCAAAAATGAGATGTAAGCCCCAATAAACCAACCAAGAAAAATGACGATCCACCTCAAGGAGCCTAGCAGCCAGAGAAAGGAAGATCTACACAAAAATCAAAACATAAGCCCAGTGAAAAAGAACTGCTAGGGCTGGAAAAATCTTTAAGTAAAATAATAGTAATACTATTACTACTACTAATAATATATAATGCTCGAGACTAATAATAATATATAACTAATAATAATATATAACTACTACTACTAATGCTTGAGATTCAAGTGCTACACACCCATAAAAAGAGACTTTCAAATTTGAACTATAAAATAGTGATTTGAACTCTAAATTCAGTGAATTAGTGTAATAGTTATTTGAGACTTGAATTAATGACTTGGAAAATCAGATGAAAGAAATAGCTTAAAGTACAGAAATAAAATGAGACAGACGTCATGAGAGCAAGAGAATAAGAAATGTGGAGAATATACTGGGAAAACCAGTGTGCTAGTAAGAAAAATTCCATACAGAGAAGAAAGAACAGACAAACAAGCTATATTTTGACAAAGAATAGGGAAATAAATTCCCTGAAATGAAGAAATAAATGCATCTGCCAATTAAAAGGGCTTCCAGTGGCCCAGCCTCAACTGATGTGCAAAAACACAGACACGGGAATATCCTGGGAAAAAAACACTGTATGCCATTTCCAGAGAGAAAGAACAGGCAGTGGTGTGCTCAGGATGTTTGACGCCCCAAGCAGATAATTTTCTTAACACCCCTCTCCTCTATATAATAATATTATTTTTAGTACTAATTATTGAACAAGGCAAATAATGGCCAGGAAAAAAATTAATAGTGAAAATTGACCTTTGTGAAACATATAAACAAAAAAAGGAGAATATTCTAATACCAAAAATGAAACAAGTAATAGGTTAATACTGTTTAATTATATGAATGTATTTTCTAAGAAAGGAAAAAAAGCATTCATAGTTATATATATATTAGTCTATCACAGAAATAAGGTGCAAATTTTGTTTGTAAGCCTTAAATTTTGAAGATTTGTCAATGGCATTCTCAAAATTGATCTTTACTATATATTCATGTTTAAGAGATACATAAAATTCCTGTTTCACAATAAATTCCAGAAATTATATTCTGCCAATAGCTTTGTTATTTTAGTATTGATTCTTACATGCAGAGTATAAGCTAGAGTATGCTTTATTAAAGGTAAGGAATAAAAATATGCCAACTGGTACCCTACACATATATTATTAAAATTTAACACTAACCACAGGAATTATTTAGATTGTAGACAAAAGATATTTTTCAAGGAGGAGTAATTTATCACTAACATTGTTTAGAATTGAGGGTGCATGGTGATGCTAAAAAACAGCCCAACTTTTAGTTTAAAATTGGTTTAAAATTTGTTAGAGACAGTGCATCCCCCAGTGACTTGCACTTCAAATGATTCCCTTCCAGCCACTGCATGTTTGGCAGTAACTGACAACAAGTTCCTTACAAGGGAAAATTCTCTGACTGGCATGGGACTTGTCATAGACCACTGAGAGAAACAGCAGACCCCCTGCATCCTGATGAAGCCAGGATATCCTATACCTGGAGAAGCAAAGGAAGATGCTCGGGGATGTGCTTAGGAATATATCACCAGAAAAATATTTGAGGGAAGACTTGACCAAACAAAAAATGAAAAGAGACACTTCAATATGAGGGGGAAAAGGGAAGGGAAATGGTTCTCCTCAGAGTGGAGAGAGGAAAGCTGAAATGAAGAAGAAACACAGTATTTTAAGGTTCTTTTTTGAGTTTACAGAAGTGGGAATGGATGGGATGTTAGAGCTAAGAAATAGTGTGCCAGAATGCTAAGACATATTTGGAACATATGTTTTTGGTTACGGAAGCAGATAAAAGACAGTGAATGTTAGTGCCGTGGATAAGTATAATAGAACCTCTACATTACCAAGGGGAAAACATGGAATGGATAGCAACTTGCTCAGACCAGCAAAATAAGGGAAAGAAAAAAAGAAGAAAGTACAATTTAAAATAAATTTAAAATAAATAGTGTATATATAAAGTTAAGATGGAAGGAAGGTAGTTAAGTATATGGCTAAATATGAAAAGGTTAATTATCCCACTAAATACAGAGATTACAATTAAGGTTAAGGTAAAAAAAAAAAAAAGCTACATTAAAAACCATTATAGTAACAATGGATCATCAGTGGGTACTAAAAGAATCATCAATGGGTACTAAAGCCATTGCATGAAAAATATATACAGTTTCAAATAGTATCCTCACAGATTTCTTTTTATTTACAAGGTGGAAATTGTAGCTTTCCAGTGGAGAAAACAGGAAGATACCACTTTAACCACATTAACACCATCAACAATGGAAAAACTTAAATTGTGTACATCATATTGTGATGTATGAAGGATACAGCATCACTTATAGAATATTCCTGCCAAAGATTCATATTCTGAAATTAATAGGAGACTACTGGTCTGTCCAATAGTTTGAAACCATCCTAAATGAGGAACAATCTGCAAAACAGCTAACCTGGACTCTTCAAAATGTCAATATCATGAAAGATGAAAAGGCTGAGGCCTTGTTAGAGATTAAAGGAGACCAGGGATATAGGACAATTACAGACAATGTATGGTCCAGGATTAGGAAAAATTACTATTGATGGGGCAGTATTGTAAGATTGGTGAAATTTAAATATGAACTATTTATGAGATAATAGTTTTATATCAATGTAAACTTTCCTGAAATATTTAGGAGGGTGAATGTTTAAAATATCTGCAGCCTGCTCTTAAATGGTTCAGTCAACATACACACAACACACACACACATGCGTGCACACACACACACACACACGGCGGGAGAGAGGGATGAGAGGGACAGAGAGAGAAGAAATGTGGCAAAATGTTAACAGTTGGTGAATCTAGAGTTCATTATCCTTGTCTTGCAACTTTTCTGTCAATTAAAATTTTTTTCAAAATAAGGTTTCAAAAACTGCACTCATCTATATTCTGTTCAAAAGAAACACACAAGAGAAATAAAATAAAAATAAAGGGATGGCAAAAAAATATAGCCAGGCAAAATAAATTATTAGAATTGAACATTTAAAGTGCTGAACTGGGGTGCCTGGGTGGCGCAGTCGGTTGAGCATCTGATTCTTGGCTTCAGCTCAGGTCATGATCTCAGTGTTGTGGGATTGAGCCCTGTGTAGGGCTCCGTGCTTAGTGTTGAGTCTGCTTGAGATCCTCTTCCTCTGCCCCTCCCCCTGTGCACGCACGCTCTCTCTCTCAATCTTTCTCTCTCTGAAATAAATAAATAAATCTTTAAAAAAAAGTGCTAAACTTAAGAAGGACATGATGTTGAAATCAACATTTATGAAGAAGATATAGTAGTCTAAAAGTGCTCTGATATAATTATATATACAATATAAATATACATAGCCTTAAATCCCACAAATACATTTTCTTTCTTACAAAGAAAGCCTTAATACATTTTTTAAAATTAGGATTTCACCACATGCATTTGCAGATTATAATCCAATAAAATTAAAAATAAACAATAAAGAGATGATCAAGATGTCTTATGTATTTGCAAAAACATGTGCTCCTACATAACCCTTGACTCAATGACAACCTTAAAAGGAAAGGTAGAAAGTACCTGGAAAGCTTTATATAAAGGAAAGAAAAACTTTTTTTTTTTTTTTTTAAGAGAGGGAGAGAGGTGGGGGAGGGCAAAGGGAGAGGGAGAGAGAATTGTTTTTTATTATTTAAATTCAATTAATTAACACACAGTGTATTATTAGTTTCAGAGGTAGAGTTCAGTGATTCATCAGTCTTACATAATACACCATGCTCATCACATCACTTGTCCTCCTTAATGCCCATCACCCAGTTACCCCATCACCCCAACCCCCTCCCCTCCAGCAACCCTCAGTTTGTTTCCTATGGTTAAGAGTCTCTTATGGTCTGTCTCCCTCTCTGATTTCATGTTGTTTTATTTTTCTCTCACTTGCCCTATGATACTCTGTTTTGTTTCTTAAATGCCACATATGAATGAGCTCATATGATAATTGTCTTTCTCTGATTCACTTATTTCACTTAGCATAATACCCTCTAGTTCCATCCACATCTTTGCAAATGGCAAGATTTCTTTTTTTTTTTTCTTGATGGCTGAGTAGTATTTCGTTGTATATGTATACCACATCTTCTTTATCCGTTCATCTGTTGTTGGGCATCTGGGCTCTTTCCATAGTTTGGCTGTTGTGGACATTTCTGCTATAAACATTGGGGTGCAGGTGGCCCTTCAGATCACTACATTTGTATCTTTGGGGTAAATACCCAGTAGTGCAATTGCTGAGTCATAGGGTAGGGGAGAGAGAGAATCTTAAGCAGGTTCCATACCCAGCCCAGAGCCTGATGCAAGGCTTGATCTCACAGCTCTAAGACCATGACCTGAGTCAAAATCAAGGGTCAGGCACTTAACCAACTGAGCTACTCCAGTGCCCCAAGAAAAACATTTTTTAACCATATTTTATGTTGTTCTTTATTCTCCCATGAAGTCAAGCATACATGATTTCATGTAATTGATTTTTGGATTGGTTCAACAAAAAGCTGAATTAAATACATACTCTTTGATTTGACAGAAAAAATACAACTTATCTTTTGATGGCATTCAATTTTTATTTGTTTTATTAAACCACAAAATATTTGTGAACTTACCAGTTTTAATTTTCTGTTATGGTTATTAATCTTCAGTTTATAATAATCTTATATTATATTTTGGATTTCTACAGCTTACAAGAATATCTGGAAAGACAACATATATCTCAGTTTTGTGATGTTGAAGAAAATATAACTGATGTTAACCACTTTATTGATATGTTCTTCCCTGATTTTAAAAATATGAAAAACCTCAAATTAGAAAAGATCCTGGCATTACTTCGACCAGCTCTCTTTCAAGAAAAGAAAGGTAAGAAATAAATATAAATACACCCTAGTATAATTACATTAAAATATATTATTTTAAAATTTAACATTGAAGAAAAAAAGCACCTATGTCTTTTTTCTTTTCTTTTTTACATTTTCACTATATGAAATTTAATTCATTAGTTCCACACACTCTTGCAATTTCCACCTTATGCACAATAGATTATTCCGTAAGTATTATTCCTTGCTTGCTAAGATGAGATCTAGAAGAAAGATATAGAAAGGGAAAAGAGACGACATTGTTTTGGCAAAAAATTTGAGAACTAATGTTGATCTTACGGTTGCCATTATTTTGCTGAAATTCTCATATTCTTTTTTTAAAAATTTTTTATTGTTATGTTAATCACCATACTTTACATCATTAGTTTTTGATGTAGTGTTCCATGATTCATTGTTTGTGCATAACACCCAGTGCTCCACGCAGAACGTGCCCTCT